CTGATATATATATATATATATATATGTATATATATATATATATATTATATATATATATATATATATATATACGTATACATCCGTGTAATTTTATGATGATTATGTTTGTATATACATGTGTCTGTATGTGTGTGTGTGTGTGGTAGGTGGGTGTGGGTGTGGGTGTGGGTGTTGGTGCCTCGGGTTACGCTGGTCTAAACATGCTGATGTTCGACATTTAAGCAGGCGACATTCCCCGGCATGGTGCAGTATACCAAGCGACCGGCAGGCGACAAGAGTGGAGTACCCGTCTACCAGCCAGGTGGTGCCACATATCAGACAGCCATTGCATCGATGCCCTATCAGCAACCGTACATCCCCGTGTCCTGTAAGTACATTACCATAGTTACGTCCACGCGTGCTGTAAGTATGTTACCATAGTTACGTCTACGCGTCCTGTAAGTACGTTACCATAGTTACGTCCCCGCGTCCTGTAAGTACGTTACCATAGTTACATCCCCGCGTCCTGTAAGTACGTTACCATAGTTATATCCCCGCGTCCTGTAAGTACGTTACCATAGTTACGTCCCCGCGTCCTGTAAGTACGTTACCATAGTTACATCCCCGCGTCCTGTAAGTACGTTACCATAGTTACATCCCCGCGTCCTGTAAGTATGTTACCATAGTTACATTCCCGTCTCCTGTAAGTACGTTACCATAGTTACGTCCCCTCGTCCTGTAAGTAGGTTACCATAGTTACATCCCCGCGTCTGTGCGTGACCATATTTAGATGCCGTGATGTTGCTGTTAGTAAACGTTCTGCTGATTTACGGTGGTTACATGTTCAACTGTCCGCTTTATATAAGGTATGACTAATGACAGAGACTGAACAGACTGTACTGTCTGGCTGGACAGTAAAAGTGTTTCACTTATATGTCCTGTATTTATTAAGCTTTGCCTGAATTACCTGAAAGGCCCAGAAAATGGTGAATTACTTTATATCTGATCGCGTTGCCTATAGCAGATCAATGAAGGCTTGTAATAGGCATTCTATATACCTTTCGATAAGTCTGTCCCTCGCAATCGCTTTCTTGCTTGACATTACGATTATGTAGTTTTGAATAAAACTGTGTTTTGTGCTTGTGTGTTTGTATGTGGGGGGTCGTGAGTCTATTCCGAATGGCCCAGGTAGACAAATATGCTCTTTCCCAGTTCCTAGTTAAATTAAATCACAATTTCCAGTTCTGGTATAATATGTTATCTAGTATATAAATATGAAATGTAAATTTTAAAAATATATACATATATATATATATATATATATAAATTAAGTAAAATAATCCTGTAATTGTGTATATTTTATCTTGGTATATAATCTTCGCTGTTATGTCTTATTCCTTATATTCCCAGATAATTAGAATGATGCAATCCCGCGTCACGACGCTAGCCGCTGACGCACCCTGTCTATATATATATATATATGTATCGCCGTGTAGTCAGACACGTTGTTGCCCGTGTGCGTGCGTGGCTGCGTGCGTGCGTGTGTGTGTGTACGTGCGTATGTGTACGCGTGTGTGTGTGGATGTGTTTGTGTGTGCGTGCGTGCGTGCGTGCGTGCGTGCACTTAAGCTAGTGCAGCTAATGCAGTAGACCTGAGAGGCAGGCAGGCAGGCAGGCAGGCAGGCAGACAGGCAGGCAGCAGCGGTGGAGCGACCATGATCAATACCGACTCCTTCTTTTCTACTTGACGTTCTGTCTAGACGCGGTTTTACGATGCTGTTCATAATAACTCTCGTTTTTACGGCGAAATAACCCCTCCTCCTTTTCCTCCTCCTTCTCCTCCTCCTC